TCTTAGTAGGGATGTTACTTTCGATGAAAACACCATGTATTCAATTAAAAATGCAGAGATTTCAGATTTGAGAAGGGAAGGAGACAATTTATTACAGACAGATGGGGTACTTGAGGTACATCAGTCTACCATTGCTGATTTACCTCGGGTACAATATATTGATGATGATGCTGATGTTCCAGTGCCGGGTACTCCTGAACCTGAGATTACTCCTACTCATTCTAACTCTGGGGATGAGGTGGAGCAATCTAATCAGGGGTCATCTAGTCAACCTGACACCATTCTTGAGATGCCTAAACGAGTTATCAAGAAGCCTGTTAGATTGATTGAAGAGATGGAGGGAAGAAATTGCTGTGTTGATGCGATGACAGGTTATGCATTGAGTGTAGCTGATGATGTAGAGTCATTTGAACCTGCCACATATAAACAAGCAATTAGTTGTAGTGAGTCTGCGCAATGGCTTGCCGCAATGGGTGAAGAGATGCAGTCCCTTTACAAGAACAGAGTGTGGGAACTGGTAAAGGTACCGGAAGGGAGGAAGCTTGTGGGTTGTAAATGGATTTACAAGAAGAAAGAAGGGTTGTCGGAAACTGAGCAAATACGTTTTAAGGCTAGGCTAGTTGCTAAGGGGTTCAGTCAGGTAGAAGGGGTTGACTTTGTTGAGATATTCTCACCTGTGGTTCGACATACTTCTATCCGTGTGTTATTGTCAATTGTAGCACATTTTGATCTTGAGCTGGAGCAGTTGGATGTTAAAACGGCCTTCCTTCATGGCGATTTGGAGGAGGAGATTCTGATGAAGCAGCCCGAAGGATTCGAAGCTCCTGGAAAGGAACACTATGCCTGCAGATTGCTAAAGTCATTGTATGGACTTAAGCAATCCCCCCGACAGTGGTACAAAAGATTAAAGGAGATGCTTAACTCGGAGTTTGACATGAAAGACTTGGGTGCAGCTAGGAAGATTTTGGGTATGGAGATCTACAGGGATCGGGCTAGAGGTAAGCTTTTCTTGACTCAGAAAAGCTACATTGAAAAGATTCTGTCTCGTTTTGGGATGGAAAAATCGAAGCCTATAAGTACGCCAACTACTGTTAGTTGTAAGTTGTCTTTGTCTATGTCACCTCAATCAGAGGAGGAGTTGTCTTATATGTCTAGAGTTCCATATGCAAACGCGGTTGGTTGTTTGATGTATGCTATGGTCTGTACTAGGCCGGATATTGCGCATGCCGTTAGTGTTGTAAGCAGGTTTATGGCTCGACCTGGGAGGGAACACTGGCAAGGGGTGAAAAGGATTTTTCGCTACCTGAGAGGGACAGCTGATATTGGTCTTGTGTACGGGAATGATAAGGAATGCTTGGTCACTGGGTACAGTGATTCTGATTATGCAGCTGATGTGGATACCAGGAGGTCTGTGACTGGTTATGTGTTCACTTTGGGTGGTTCTGTGGTTAGTTGGAAGTCTACATTGCAGTCATCAGTTACGTTGTCAACTACTGAAGCTGAGTATATGGCTTTAACTTCTGCAGCTAAGGAGTCTATTTGGCTCAAAGGCCTAGTAGGTGAACTGGGTATTGCACAGGATTTTGCTACAGTGTATTGTGATAGTCTAAGTGCGATTTGCTTAGCTAAAGATCAAGTACACCATGATCGGACGAAGCACATTGATGTCAGGTATCATTTCTTACGTACTGACAAGAGGATTAAGGTGAAGAAGATTGGGACTGCTGACAACCCGGCTGATTTCTTCACTAAGCCTGTTCCGTTTAGCAAGTTTAAACATTGCTTAGACTTGCTAAATATTGATTACTACGTGATGTAGTAGGCCCTGAGGGGCGAAGTTGGGGAGCTCCTGGTGTAGGTGTGTTGGCATTAAGGTGGAGCTTGCCCGGGGCTTGTGATGCAGGTGGAGCATTATGAGTTGTTATACTTGGAGACGAGTATGTGATGGGTCTTGGTTGAAGACTTATCGGGATGTATGGCTTATGCATGAGTCCTGCATCGGGTTTGGCTTGAGATGTTTTTTCACTATGTCTTGATGGGGTCGTTTGCTGACTACGAGTTCTCGTCAAGGTGGAGATTGTTGATAAGTATATTAGGTGACTCGTACTTCGTAGCTTTGTCCGCCCGATCGGGCGGACATTGCCCGGTCTGACCGGGCGGAAGAAGAAGAGGTGCCTGGCAAATTCGTTGAAGAAGCTGCTCTCGCGCCCGACCGGGCGAGCCTTCGCCCGACCGGGCGAGCCTTCGCCCGATCGGGCAGACCTTGCCCGGTCTGACCGGGCGGTGGGGGTTGGATACGTTGAAGCATTCGTATGGAGTTTTCTTCTCGCGCCCGATCGGGCAGACCTTGCCCGGTCTGACCGGGCGGAGAAGGAAAAATACGGAACGCGGATTTTGCGGTTTTAGGTTATCTTATTTTATTATCTTTTTGCCCAAGTATCTTTTAATTAGGGATTAATATAAAACCTCCCTAATATCAGTATTAGGGTTAAGAGAGACAGAGTGAGAGCCGTTCTCGAGAAATACAAGAATCATCTTTGTAATCTTTGCAGTTTATAGTGAAATCATTCGATCTCGGTGCCCGTGGACGTAGCTATCACATCGATAGTGAACCACGTAAATTCTTGGTGTTGTTCTTATTGTTTGCATTGAATTTCTTTATTGTTTTCTTGTTTGTTTTCGACCTTTGCTTCCGCTGTCGCACAACAAGTCGTCTCTAACATTCCTATTACTAACCTACGAAGCATGGCACTTGGTCATGTTGAGCCATGGCCTTATTCACGAGGGTCACTAGAAAAATCCCAATATATGCAATTAATCGTACACTATATTGTCCCACTTTTTTTTTTTTTTTTTTTTTTTTTTTTTTTTTTTTTTTTTACAACTTAAATTCAATTCTATAATTTTGTTGGTTAAATAACGACAATGATAATTTGTTAATTGAATAATATCCTTAACAAATTTTTATTAATTTTCATTATCATTGGTGTTTGAATTTCGTGCACAATGCTCATCAAAAGGAAGATAGCGAGTGTATTTCAATAATAACACTCTATCAAACGACACTAAGGTAACAAATCATTAATTAATTTTCTTGCCTTCATCGTATGGTAGATGGTACGGCAATGACTATGACAAGTTGGTGGATCAAAATAAGTCAAAATGGATATTGTACTTTTCAAAGAGAATTACCATGAAAGGGAAGATTAAGAAAGGGTAGAGTGTGTGGTTCCATGATAAAGGATGCAAACTTAATGTAGAGGGAAGAGTCTAAATCAAGATGTTGAATTGTGTTTAGCAACATAGCGTAGAGGCTGTGATGGTGACACTTAGGATGCACGAGCTCGGGAATGTATATAATACAAAACGGATACAATATAAAGTTAGTCTAGAATTAAGAGACATGGGTACGATGCAGAACAAACATAATTATATTATATAAAATAAGAAAATTGAATAACTGATAATTAACTTTATAAATGATTAAAAGAAGTATTAAAAACATCCAAAAAACGAATATGTTGAACATGTGAAGAGGCGATGTAAGGAGGACATTAATAAAATAGTGATGAGAGGGGGATAGAACCGTTAGTGAAAAGAATGAACGCCAAAAAAAAAAAAAATAAAAAAAAAAAAAAAAAAATCCAAAACTAGAGTATAAAGTCTTCAAAAAAGTGCAAATACAAGAAAATTCTATATATGTTGACGTGGTGTATTCAATATTAAATAAAACGCATTAAGGTAAGACAAATTTTGTGTCCATCTGTCAAAATATGTTAAAGATTGTACAATGTTTTTTCGTGTGTCCGACACGTATTTAAGTGTGACTCTTGCTTGTCGTTGTTAGAAAATATTAGTACAAATTCAACAATTGGATGATGTGTCTGTGTTTTATCAGTGACGTCGGGAGGGCAAGACATTGAACAAGCCATCCTAATTCCTAACACTTGCTCAAAACTGAGGCTCTATTGCTTGATATTGGGTTACTCATTTGAGTAAATCTTATTTGATCCACTTTTATGTGGATTCTAAAATCTTCCTCTTGGGAGCTTTTTGCAAGGTTTGGGCCACAAATAAGGATACTAGGCAAGTAAAACATCTAAAATCCTCAAACAACGACCCAAAGGGTATGTTAATTATCTAAAGACCTTATGAACTTTTGAGGTTTAGGAGGTTCATAGTCCGAGCTATGGTAGTCTTTAATCAATCCCTTAGCAAGTACTTTCGTATTAGACATTTATAATCGCCGGAGAAGCATATAGAATGTAGAGCAACTTTCCCGCGATTTAATGGCCCGATAAACACGTTGATGACCCCTTATGAATAATGTAGTGTTGAAAGGACAAGCCGAAAATGTCAAATCTTAGTGAAGTATAAATAGTTAATGTTTCCTTGACCATTTTCCCTAAGAAGAGTAACTAGATTGTAAGAGTATGTAAAAACTATGGGTGATTGAATACCTAGATTCAAAGGCCATCATAACCCATACAGGCCATAACCTCAGTATGCGATGCCTATCATCATGTTTTGTTTCATCAAATTAGTAAATTATTATAGTTGAACTCTACAGAGAACCATGAAGAATATACAAAAATGACTATAATGTTGCTTTCAGAAAGAAAAAAAAAATGACTATAATGTTGCTTTCAAAAAAATAAAATATAATGACTAAAATATTATATTCTCTTAATATATGATGTTATTACTTGTTTAAAATCATACTGCCCGTTCTACGCACTGACTGTGTATAAATTATTATTAATACTTAAAATATGGCTTAAATAATTGTATAATCAAATTATCCAATTGCATGATAGTTAATCATTAATTCGTATAAAAGAAACTGTATACCAAACCATTGTTGTAATTTTACATCAAATATTATAAAGTTGTTCTTTACCAAACCTATTTCTTGCGCTTAATATCTTGAAAATAATGACCCAATGACATGCAAGCAATATTATCATATGAAATTTCCATAATATTCTAACACAAAACTCTTTTTTTTTTAGACCAATTCAAGTCACCCTTTTTTGCAGCCTCAATTTTTTCCTTTTCAATCATCATCTTCATTATAGTAAAACTTTTACATAGAATTTTGAGGGATATTTTGTTTTTTTTTTTTTTTGAACTTAGATGATGTGAAAAAAGTTTTAATGGAAATTTGTATTTATATTAGAGATTGGGGGTCAATGAATTAAAAGACAAATGTGATTAAATTATATTGAAAAATAGAGGGAGAAGAGGAGAAGGTTTCAATTTGTTAAATTTAAGTATAGGTTATAGAATATAAAGAGTTATTGATAAATAAAGGAGGGAGTTGAAGAAGTTCTATGCAAATATAGAAAAACAGAATGATTTATAAAGAAAGGTAATAGGGAAGGAGAGCATGTGGCATTTTTGGTTTGTGTGTTTAAATACTAATAATAGATTTGTCATATCAAATCAAAATAAACTATAAATATTCACATTAGATTAAACCAGATCTTATCAAGCTCGAACAAAAAAAAATTCAAATTGGATTATAAAACATAGCCTAAATTTAAATATATATGGTCTGACTTTAACAAAGGGTTTTTGATACATAAAAGTTCAAACTTGAGAAATGGTAAAAAAGAATACTAGTCTTTGTACTCTACATTTCAATAAAATTCATTAAAAAAAAAAAAAAAAGATTAAAAAAAAATAAATAAATAAAGATGTGCCATTAACGTGTGATTTGATGATTATCAAAGAGAGTGGGATTCCATTATCATAAATGATCTGGTCTATGGCTGGCTTTTGGCTAAGTTGAGGGCACAACATAACTTGTAGACCAATTCATAGTTCACGCATAATAACAATTCCACTGAATTCAAATGACAATCTGCTTCAGTTACCATTAGCAGCAGCAGCAACAACAACCTAACAGATTAAGGAATAATCTTGTACTTTCTTGTCATGTAGATCCAAAAACGAAATGAATCTGCAGTGTTTCTGGAACCCCCAAATCCGAACTTCCTGCTTTTCTCCATACCCCGATTAATGTAATCGTCTGATACAGTCTGACATCTGAGGACAGAATCGACATACCACCAAGTCCCAACCTCGTCGAATCTAGTAGGAAGCAGATCCTTCTCTTGTACAATCTGATCCCATACAGGACCTTTCTCCCTCATCATTTCTTCAAGAGTAATAGAATCTTCTTCAAATTTCACGGTTTCTAATTCGAATTCATCAGCCAAAATCTTCCACAAATCTTTCCACTTGAACACATCCCCGTTGCTACAGTTGAATGCTTGCCTCTTGCCTTGGTGATGAAGTGACGCCCATATTTGCTGCTCAGCCACCAAATCCGCATCTGCAGCCTCTGAGTACCCATCCCAGCCTGCCTGGTTGCCTGGAAACTTTAAGTGTTGTCCTTCATGCTTGCATATAGTGGCATAAACACAGAGCGAACCAATAATGTTCCTAGTACTGTAAGGAGAAAACCCATGCATAACAGCAGGTCGATGGACTGACCATGTCAGATTCTCCTTTGCCTGCACTTCCTCAGCCAATATATCCTCCATAGCATAATAACTATCGGTAGTATCTTCCCTGGGCAACTCCTCTACAAATTGAGGTTCATTTTGAATTTCAGCCGTTGAGTCCAAAGAAGGTAGGGCATATTTCTGACCTGTTTGAAGACAGATATGCTGCAAGTTTGGCGCATTAGGTATGACCGCATTAAGAACATTACGCAGCATTCTTCCGTTCTCTTCGTAAGTTTCCTCTTCAGTGGATTTCGTAACCCATCCAACGTAGAATACATGAGTTACATCACTCAGATGTGAAAGTTTAGCTTGGGTAGCTTCAGGATCAACCATATCACATTGGATATATTGAACATGGTTGTGGTGAAACTGCCACTCAGGTTGACGCCGTCGCCCAACACCATAGACCTTCCACCGCCCACCAGGTGTACTAGATAGCTGAAGGATATCTGCAAGACTATTACCAGAGATGCCAGTCACGCCAACTACAAGTGCTACATTATGGTATTTTGATGGAATATCTCCACTCTCTATTCTCTGCAAAGACCAGACAAACACAAATAAAAGATTTAGAGGTGCAAAATACAGCAAATACTGAAATGAATTGAAAATTAAACAATCATTGGAAAAAAAAAAAAACGAATATAAGGCGACATACATGTAAGGCGGAACCAATAGCTCCTAGCCACCACCAATTCATGGAGCAAATTTGATTGCAGAAAACCCTGAAATTATATGAGAGAACACGGAGACAGATAGAATAAGGCAATAAAGAACAGAAGCAAAGAGAGGCATATTATAAAACAGGGGTCCTGAGGCAGCTGTTGACTAGGTGTATTATCATAAACAAAATTATAAAAAATCCATATACAACCCTTCACGGCTCTGTTTCATAATAGTCAGCATTCATGTCATCAAGTATTAGAAAAATTACTTGAACCAGTTCATACTCATATTAAGAAGCTAAAGAATAGTATCATACAGAAGGCGAACCCTCAGCAAGAGATTTAATGACAAAATAAACTGCACATTGTTATATTACTTCGTACTTCATATCAAGCAATTTAGCTACACAACAGCCTACTGCTATATGATTATAGGCTTATAGCTGCAAATTAAAAGTCCGTATGTAATAACCTGTGTTTTTAATACTCATTCCAAACCAAATTATTCGCATCATCATAACTTTTATCACAATATATACTATCTTGACCAAATTAACGGCCAAAGTTATGCATTGACAGAGAAACATGTCTAATCAAAATGATGCAAACAATTTGGGATAAAGTGGTTGTATTTTAATTAATCTTGAAGAATTCAACCAGAAGGTATTTCCAAATAGTAGAAAGAGAATTTTAGACTGAAAATTCCCAAATCTATGATATGTACCAACACCCCCCTCCCCCCTTTTTTCCTTTTCATTGGGTACGTAATTAAATAAATAAAGCAGAAGGAATATTATAGTACCCTTTGACATTCCATTTTCAGGTATTTATGTTAACAGCAAGTTAGAAGCAGTAAAGCAATGTATACGTTTCGCTTCAAGACATGAATGTCAACTGACAATAATTAGTTAAGACAAAGCATGTGATTACTTGTTCAATTCATTTTATTCCCCTATAATAAGAATATTCACAACTAGGGAGAGGTAATCACACTTTATCATTCAGCCATGTTAGAACATTTTTTTTTAATTATTATTAGACATCCCTTCAAAATTCAAATATAAATAATAGAAAAAACCGATTTAAAATGCAAATTAAACCAGAGAAACACGTCCATTAGTGAAGAATGGTGAATCCTTCTCCCATTATGAAGAAAATAGGGGGCATTATAAAGCTGTTTTAATAAACTGTATTAAAGAAAAGTACTAAAAGATGCAGCAAAATGTCTTCAAAAGTGAATAAGGGAAAATGTGAAAAGAACATTTAAGTCCAATGGAGAAAGCCTTTCAATGCCATGTGGCCATCATAGTTAATCTCCGAATCCAGATTCTCTAGTTCTTTGATCCATCTTCCTAGAGTTAGTTTATATAACAGACCTTAGCTACCTAAACTGCACAACATGCTGCTTGGAGCCCCCTTTGCTACACTTGGATCGAAAAAAAGCCGGACTCTAATCTTAACTAAGCATAGATATCGGTTCCGTCTCAAATGCCAAAGTAAGATAAAATAATCTGTTGCCAAATAAAAGTCTGAGGCTGGACAAGAGCATAGGAATCAATTTAAATAGAAATATAGAGAACCACATCCTCAACAAAGATATTGTCATTTTTAGTAGGCGTACAGACAATGAGCCTGAGCATAGACTTCCTCATGAGCAAACTTTCGTCATCAACTTCAGAACTTAAAAATCCACCATGAGAAAGCTTAGCAGATTTTATTGACAAATCTTGTTCAAACTTCAAACCTTGCCTACGTGGCAACGTTGGTGAAACTCCCATCAGCATTCTTAAATTGAACAAAGAAACTGCATTAAGCCCATCACCTCTGCAACAGACTCTTGTATTATTCCTAAACCTCAATAGGCGAATGCCTGAGTAGCTAGGATGAATCGTACTAATTTCATTGACACTACCATCTTCAATGACAGAGAACTGGATCCACTTCAAAGTCATGCTTGCTTTAGCGAATTTCAAGAAGATTAATTAAGGTGATGCCTAGAAAAGATGTTCAAGATATGGACATTAAATCCAAAAGAGTGAGAATCCCAGAGAGTTTGGAGAGTCCTGGAGGTGACTAGGTGAGCACATATTCTTTGCTAATAGTTCTTTCCTTTTTTTCTGCTATTTGATTGATCAGGACTAGCTTGTCTAGGTCAAAGCAGGTTAGGCTCCATAGATATTTTCCCATTGTAACACCATATCTGGCTTGTTCCCCAGCTCTTCATCACTGGAGCCCTAGAGATCCAAAAGATCTTTCTCTCAGCACTACCAATAAACTCTGCTAATTCATCAAAAGGCTCAATGTGACTTTGAGCTCACAATATTATTTCTCAGATGCAATCCTGGCCTTAATTAACATCCTTTAGGGAAAGAGGCAACCACAAGGACCTTGAAAATTGACACTGATCATATTAGACTCACATTGGGATCTTGTCTAATTTCTCGGCGTTTACAACTTCACCACATCCTGTTGGGGGTAATTGGCTGGATTTCTCCTTGAAGTCACAAGCTATTACAACTTCAACACTTTTTTTTATCCTTTGAGCTGGGAAACGAGCCTTGTAAGTGTATAAGGTGCTACAATGGGATAGTATTCAGAAAATCATGCCTGCAATAACTTATATATATATATATATATATATATATATATATATATATATATATATATATATATATGTGTGTGTGTGTGTGTGTGTGTGTGTGTGTGTATACATGCATATATATATATATATATATAAATATATATATATATATATATATATATATATATATATATATATATATATATATATATATGTATGTATGTATGTATAGATTATAAGAGAAAAAAGAAAAAGAAATGCAAAAAAATTTCACAAATTAGTGCTCAACTCAAGCAGTCACTACCCTCCCCCCACTCTCTCCCCAAGAAGAGATTATGGATACTTTCTTCATATTAGAGCCCATGACTCCAACAGCTTCTCTTATATAATACACCAAATTTGAATCAGTTGGAGAACCACAATTGCAGTCCTTGAACTTCTTCAGTTTCTCAAGAGCAAATCATGTTTGCACCAATTATGAATAGGGGTAATTCGCTGTTGGGGTTATTTGCATATGATTCATACTTGTGATTTCATTTGTTTTGTTAACTTTGTGTTTGATTAGGTTGTTGAATTTATATGCAGGGAAGACTCAGCTTATCAATCATTTTCTGATCAACAAGAGTTGGTATATTGTTGATTTGCCTGGATATGGGTGAGTCTCTGTAATTTTGGTTTTAATTTGGGCAATTTCTGTAATTCTTGAGTCTATTTCATGCTGGGAATATTGTATACTTGTATTGTGAATCAATTGTTATTCGTGTTTATACCTGATCATATGCTTGAATCATATTGAAGTGCCAAAAAAGGATTGCTTTTACGCCTTGTGGCATTGCTTCAAAATTATTGATCACCCTGTAAAACATGTTGCGGACTGATATGTATTTAGGCTACATCCGCTGTAGTTAATTTGGTCTCCAATCGTGTTGTTTATTTTCAAGTTTAGGAAGTAAATGTCTCCTTACATGTCATTGTGGAAATTAACCGCCCTTAATTAAGTCATATTTAACCTTGGATAGCAATGGTGGATAGCAATTATGCATATGATGATCTTGAAATCTGCTTCAATAGTGCAACATTTGAAAGATCACTTTTTTATGCCTGATTTTCTTACATAGATTTGCCAAAGCGTCTGAATCTGCTCGAACAGATTGGTCTGCATTCACTAAAGGCTACTTCTTGAATAGAGATGCACTCGTTTCTGTGTTACTCCTAGTTGATGCAAGTGTTCCCCCACAGAAGATAGATGTTGATTGTGCTAATTGGCTTGGGCGGGAATGTATCCAATTTCTGAACACTATACTATCGTTAATTCATTTAACATTTTTGAATGTGATTTAAATGTGCTACTGATTTTCCGTTTCTTGCTGCTTTGGTTTATGCTTTTCAGATACCTATCACCTTTGTGTTCACCAAGTGTGATAAGATGAAAGGCGGAAAAGACCTACGACCTGAGGATAACATCAGAAGTTTCCATGAGTTAATCAGACAGAATTACAAACAACATCCCCCATGGATCATGACTAGCAGTGTCACTGGTCTAGGCCGAGACCAACTTCTACTCCACATGTCACAACTAAGAAACTATTGGGATAGTTAGAAAGTATATTAGAAGATTTCTGGTTTACAACTACAGAAATGTCTACTTACCCTATGTTATCTTTTGCAAGTTTGTATAAAATGGAATGAAGTTTTGAAATTTTATAAAGAAAAAAAAATGGGTAGATGTTTATGTTGCTAGATATACTATTAGTACTCATATATGACACGTACATTTATTATTATACTGCAAAGACATCATCTGTAAGCTAAGTGGGATGACAATTTGAAACAAGATCTGTCTACATCCAACATCAATATCTTTATTTTACTTTCTTATTATTACTATATACAAGCATCTGTAATGAACGTAAATTGTTGTTTTATTACATATTCATTCTATCAGTTTCAAATTATTACCTTTCTCATCTCTAGAAAGATCATATCTTAACAAAATCAAGGGTTCCCTTACCATCATGAGCCTTCCTGTAGAAGTACAAAGTATAATCAGAATACAACACCTCCTTGTACTTGGGTTCCTCATCACTCTCGACCAAAACTTCCTTGAGAGGTCCGATCATCTTGCTAGGCTTTGGGTTCACAAACAGGGGAATTGAAATCCTGTCTTTACTTCCATTTGCTATTACACGGTGTTCTATGCTCTTGTACTTGCCATTGCTCATGATTTGCAGCGCATCACCTATGTTAATCACCAACGCCCCGGGGATAGGTGGCACATGGACCCAACCTTCTCCATCAGGTGCTCGAACATAGAGTCCACCAATATCATCCTGCAGGAGGATGGTAAAGGTGGACACGTCTGAGTGCCTCCCTACTCCTACTGTCAGTCCAGGTTTCGGACACTTTGGGTAGAAGTTGAGATTAATCCTCTTGGAACCCGAAAGAAGAGACCATTTTTCCTCATTGATCTCTTGAATGTTGAGTCCTTTCAACAGGACTTGCAGGAGGGACTTAATCACAACTTGGCACTTGTTCATGTAGTCCAGAAGTTGGTCCCTGAACATCAATGGTAATACAGATAATTATTTTGATGGATTTAGCATTCTCATGACAAAACAATAATATAATTAGTGATTGCATAGTGCAGCTTAACGGTTAATTACCTGCAAATAGTAGGCCATAAAGCAAGAGCCTCATCATCAGAGACATAAAAGAGACTAAGGTAATCCTTCCATTCTAAGGCATTCTCAACCTCGGGTATAAAGCTAGTACTTAACCTCACATGATTGCTAGGTGAATTCTCCTTGAAATAATTCCTCTTGTCCTCGGGTGCCATAGCAAAGAGCACGAGAGTTGCTCGTTTCACATTCTCAAGTACTTCAAGTGGCACCCCATGGTTGATGATCTGAAAGAATCCCCACTTCTGAGCAGCATCACATAGTGATTTTAAAACTGCTTGATCATCCCAATTAGACACATCAATTATGGGGATCGATGCCTCTTCCATGATCTTTATGTTGGACGGCCTCTCTGATTGAGGTTGTAGGTACTCCTTTGGCAAATCCTTCAATTCCATCTCCGATAAACCTTTCACTCCATGGCCCGATTCGATAAGAAAAGAGGTTAGATCTTCTGTTTCATGAGCCATTTTTCGTAAGCTTGGTGCAAGTGCAAAATTGCTCTTTGTATTAGGCTCTTTCTTTTTTCTCATGAGTTAAATGTTGTATTATGGGCGAAATTTATAATGTTTTGATTCTAATTCTTTGTCTTGCTGAAACAATCTTTCTCCAAGAAAGTCAGCAAGGTGTATAAACGATCTTACATTAGAATGGATCGTTCGGAATACCTTAGGAAAATTAGCAACAGATCATTAGCATATAATTATGATCAGTGACACCACTTTTGATTAATTCTCCCTGTGTAGTTATCAGCAAATAAATAACCGCATTAAATAAAGTATTTTGATCGCTTACTTCAATTTAATCTCCCTTAATATACTTAGTACGTTTATCACTTTAATTCGAGTTAATAAGGACAGTAATTATAAACACTTCATTAAGGAGTTAACGTACTCGCAGATAATTACTCCATAGTACGGAATCCAAAGCATTTAGTGACTATTGACATAAAAATATAATATTCCATAAAAAACAATTAACTACAAAATTAAGTTTCGATTAAGACAAATTCTAGAATAGACCCGGTGCACACCAAACCATCTAATATATCATTATAAAAGTGATTATATCATCCAAAAACTCATTATGTAAATGTATCATTCAAAAAGTGAATTTATCATTAAAAAAAGTATCAAACAGTAATAAAATCATTCTAAAAATAATTATATCATCTAAAAGATAAATTGTTTAAAATACATAAATCATTTAAAATATGACTCACAAAAAATTAAATATATCAACTAAAAAAGTGATTATATCATCCCGAATGTGACTATATTATTTGAGAGTATTAAATTTTGGGTCTACAATGATTTATTATAGCCCGTGTCCGTACAAGACCTGCTGATCAATTAATAGTACCCGTACTTTGTACTAAATGTCAAATAACTATTTTGGTACTCCGTACTATAGAATGTCATCAAATTATGTTAAGGATAATGCTATACATAGCCTTAAAATCTGAGTATAAGAAGCTGAAAAAAGAACATTTTGTGAAATATGATCATTAAATCATTAATTACACTAATTTGTGCGTGATTTTGTCATGCATTCCTAAATAATACCAAAGGAAAGATATTCAATGCTTATTTGTAGCCCTTAGGCAACATATAACATTACTCTTACTTTAATATGGTTATTATCTCTACGTTTCTACTTTAAACTACTTAAAATAATGTTTTAGTGTATATATAATTTATTTATATTGTTTGTAAACATATAATTTATTTATTTTTAATTTTAAGTGTTATACTCGTTCCAAATATCAACTACAAGTGCGGTATAGATTAGTCTCATGCACTGCACAATTTAAATAAACTATTCAGAAAATACATAGTTAAAATTTCATTCTTTAAAGTGTTATAAGTTTATAACTTCATTCATTTTTTACTGCTTTGCTTTATGCAACTACAACTGCGGTATAGATTAGTCTCATGCACTGCACAATTTAAATAAATTATTCAGAAAATACATAGTTAAAATTTCATTCTTTAAAGTGTTATAAGTTTATAACTTCATTCATTTTTTGCTGCTTTGGTTTATGCTTTTCAGATCGATACCTATTACGGAGTACCTTTGTGTTCGATCACTAAGTATGATAAGATGAAAGGCGGAAAAGGCGAACGACCTGAGGAAAACGTCATAATTGAAGTTTCCATGAGTTAATTAGACAGAATCACAAACAACATCATATCCCCCATGGATCACTAGCAGTATCACCGAGCTAAGCCGAGTTGAATTTAGCTTCCTCTCCATATTTCACAACCAAGAAACTATTGGAATGGTTAGGAAGTACTTGTATCTTTCAAGACTTCTCTGGTGTTACAACTTACAATTACAACAATACCAACTTACTCTATGTTATTCTTTGAACGTTTGTATAAAATAAAATGCAATGAAGTTTGTATAAAATTCTCTGCTTTTTTCCCCTTTTTCTACAAGTATTGCATGAATGGTCAGCTCCCATCATGCCCAAAGTTAGTTGCACAAAAACTACTACGTATTTCAATGTTCTGACTAATCTAAGACACTCCCAAGTGTACAAAAATAAGAGAGATTCCTAATTTAATGGTCTAAGCCCAAGTCAATTACATATACTTTATAATTTTTAAAAAATTGGTATAAAAGCATTGCAATGTGGAAATCATATCAAATCTATATGTCGGCATGCATAGAGATTAGAGAGTAAAATCAAGTCTTCGGAACTACTTTTAGCAGATTATCTAAAAACAAAAAAAAAAAAAGCGTGATAAAAAATTCAATTAGGGTTAACAATGGCTACGTACCCAAATTCAATATTATATCCAAAATAAATTAAAATATGTATAGATATTCAATTATGTTTAATAAATTAAGATATCTTTCAAAAAAAAAGGAAAGTAAGATAAAGATGAATATAACACAATATTTTACTTGATAGTATATGCCTCTTTATATTTGTAGGGAAAAAAAAGTGAAGTTTGAATAATACCAATCTTTTATTCTATTAAAAACTTTCCAAAAAAAAATCTATTAAAAAAAACATCAGTCTTTTATTTTAAATCAATGATCATATATTTATCCACTTCATTAACTAAGTTTTAAAAAAAACTGTATAAAATAAGAGAACTTAAAAAAAAAAAAAAAAAAAAAAAAACCTTCTTCTTTCTAAAAAAGACAAGGATCAAGGATAGATTTTCAAATCCTAGTAGAATTATAATTTCTCCATTATAAATAAAAGGATAGATTTCCAAATCCTATTAGAATTATAATTTCTTCAAGGAAATTACACCATTATTATAAATAAAATTCTCCTATCTTTCGAATTACAGTACATCAATTCAAACTCTTCTTTTTTCTATTAGTTTAGCACTTTAGCTTCTTCATAATTTTATCAAAACCTTCGAGAATTTTGTTTTTATTCTTGATCATGAAAAAAAGCAAAGAAACAGAGAGTAACAACATTGGAGAAAGTTCAAACTTTGAGGGAAATTCTGATGAATCGATCATGGAGAAACAAAAGGTTCAACATTTGGTAAACAATTACACCTTCTATGACTTTATGGAAACGGAAAATACCATAAAATCTACTCTTTTAGACCAAAATTGTGAGGTTAATGGTGAAAAATACATCGATTTATCTTCGTTGAAGGAAAATACAGGGGAATAGGAAGTTGATCATCTTATCCTTTCTCTTTCTCTTTCTCTTTCTCTTTCTACTAACACTACCACTAGAATTACTGCCATTAGTTCGTCTGCTCAAAATAGTAGTACTCCCAATATATTCGAAGCCACACCAGAATGGAGCTTTACGAAAATCCTAACACCAAGTGACATTGATAATCAAGATCGACTTTTACTCTACAAGAAATGGGTGTATAAAAACTTCAGCAACAGAATTCAAGAGGAAAGCAAGAAAGATGGTTATCAAATTGATTTCATTGATTGGGATGATAAATATGAATTTAAGATGACTTTAAGAATATGGTCAAGTGGAAGTTGTGTGCTCATTGGAAATTACAAAAGCAAAGTTGTCAACCGAAGAGGACTTAAACTAGGAGATAAAATTGGACTTCATTGGGATGGAATTAACGAGAAGATGTACTTTACTGTGTTGAAGAGAAAAATAAATGATAACCCTCCAAAGAAAAAAGAGGGGATGGAAGAAGAAGAGTAATTGAATTAGACAAAATATTTTCATATTGCACACCTGAAGCAATGAAGCATTATTTGCAAGAAAGATACGAAAAGAATATATGTAGTTGTCAGTTTGTACTTAATTTTTCGGTTTATATTTCGTTTTGATTTTGTTTAAGCAAGCATATCATGAGCGCACAGGAAAAACGAGTGATCAATTATGCATTTGTATAATAGGCTTGAGATAACATATGATCCTTAAACATCATTTATCGTCACATCGTTATAAACTTTTTATGAGATGTTTGTTTTTATGTATGACTCCAAAAATTGAATACTCGTAATTATTTGATGCACATCAAATACATGAAATTCATTCCAAAAAGGGTGATCACACATTGTAGATATGGTACTTCGTACCTTTTTATGTACAGCAGTATAAATACCTCGAAGATGCTGTCACCCATCTAAGGCTACTTTGTAAAACACAAAGATAAAAGAAAACTGAGGAGGGTTGACAAGGTAAAAGTTAAGCTCAGGCATGTAATCTTGCTTCAAGAATATAGAGTTATGATATCTCAACTTTCGTTCTTATTTTACTTGGGTTTGTCACTAGGGTAGACTGGAACCTCCCCTCTGTATACCTTCCTTGGACCACCATAAAACATAGGTTTCATCAGAGGTACTGTCTCTCCTGGATGGTCTTCCCAATATTTTTCCTGCTCGAAGTCAGCAATGAATGCAAAGAGCCGAGAAAGCCTTGGGCCTGACTCCACTGCCTCATAGAGCATAGGCCAAGGGGCTAGTCACTTACTACTTATCATATAAAAAGCTCAGCTGCAACTAGTAATGAGCATAACATAAAACTTTCAATAGCATAACATAAGCTATGCAGCACAGTAGCATACAATTTAATAAATCAGGTTTCCCCAAATGCCAAATTGCCAACCATATTTTCCAGCCATTTTAAACGGACAGAAAGCCAGAAAGAACTCAAAGAATGAAGAATAGAAAACTGAACTCTGAAAAGTGAAACCTAACTTTCCATTTGGGGAGCGGTTTAAAATGGCAATGGGAAGCCCCCCAATCGCGAGCGGTTCAAAAACCGCTTCCCATTAGGGTTTTGAACCGCTTGCCATTTACTGTTTTCTACTAGTGATTAGTTTTGGGAATTAACCCCTTTGAGCGTTGCTCGTTTGATTGTTAATCAAAAACATCAGTTGTTGCGACTTGTGATCAGCTTCTAGTTGCGACTAGGAAGATACCCTCTATTCTTGCGAAAATTAGAGTACTATCCTTTTTATTTTCGTGTAGTTTCTTTAGTTCTTATTAAAATCCGAAAATCTAATGTTATTATAGCTTACGAGCCTTGTGAGAGTCTTGAGAGATCCATCACCAAATAAATCTTACATATAACTAATACAAGCTTTGGTGTGTGTAGGGTTGACAATCAGGTTGGGTTGGGTTGGATTCATGTTCGAGTCAGCTTTAATCGAGTTGATTATCCCTCTATCCACCCTGCCCTGTTTAGGTTTCCAGGTTTAATTTTTTAATCCTAACCTGATTAATTTAATTTCTTGTACGATTGGGTTCGAATTGACCCGTTTAATCTATATTTTAATTTTTTTTAATGAAAACTATGTATGGGTCAACTTGAACCCTTTTGGCTTATTCTTTTCGAATTGACTTGAATCCATAGAGCAGTATGGATTCGAAAAGAAACACATTAACTAAATTGCTGCCATTGCGTGTATAAATACAGAGAGAGGAAGAAAGAATGAAAAAAAATAGGTAGTTGGATTGTGATTAATTTTCTAAGAGTAGTTAGACCACTTCCAATGGTGGGCAAAAATAATGCTTGCCCAATATCTCTCGACCCACTTTCTCTCTCAACAAATCAGTTTTGCCCATAGGCAATTTTTTTTCACAATTTCTCTCCCAATGGTGAGCAAAAATAATGCTTGCCCACCACTCTCTCTCTCTCTTACTTTTTCAATACCCCACCATTACTTTCTCTTTCCTACACAACACTTCTTTATTTATTAATTTCATTTATATTTTAACAATATTACTCCAAATAAAAAAAAACTAGTCTAAATTTGTGTAACTTATTTTTTTCATTTGTATCGTTTTTATCGGTAAAATATGTCGTTAAATTATGTACGTTAGATGAAATAATTGTAACAAAACGCTAAAACTTCGTAAATGTTTTTATTTATTTTAAAAAGAGGTACAGTACTAAAAACCGATTACATTTGAAACGTCATGCGTAATTAAACTTAGGGAATAAAATAAACAAAACAATTAAAAAAATACACACGACTGCGTACGTAAAAGTAGGTAGGCCATAGTAGTTGGCCTTATTTAAGTCATGCTAATTTTTCCCTAATTAGTTGGCCCGTATTGTAACCAAATTTGTTCGACTAAATCACTTTTCAGAGATAGATGAGTTTCTCTATCACGGAGGGGAGCTTTTCGTTGTAGAAATGAGTTAAAGTCAAAGTTGGTAGGTCGGCCTACGTTGAATTCAAACGGTGGCGTTGTAGACATTGATGCTGTTGTTAAATCTTGTTGATCTTCTTCGTAGAAGCTTCTCAGAACTTCAGCTCGAGTGTAGTTGTGGCGCTTATCTTCAACAATCATGTTGTGCATAATGATACATGCTTTCATTATGTCCCGCAATATATCCTCATCGTATGCCAGTGACTGTTTTCGTATTATAGCAAATCGAGCTTGCAAAACACCGAAAGCTCTTTCAACGTCCTTCCGAGCAGCAGCCTAGTGGTCAGTGAACATTTTATCCTTCTGAACTTGAGGGTGTGTGATACCCTGAATAAAAGTTGCCCACTTTGGATAAATGTCGTCGGCTAAGTAATAAGCCATGTTGTATTCATGGTCGTTAACTGTAAAATTTACCGGAGGAGCTCGACCATGCAGAACCTCATCGAACACTGGTGAATGGTACAGCACATTAAGATCATTACAAGATCCGGGAATACCAAAGAAGGAATGCCAGATCCATAAATCCTGATCCGCAACAACTTCCAGTATTAGCGTTGTTTTCTTATTTCTACCGGCGTACTGCGTTTTCCAAGCCGTTGGACAACTCTTCCATTCCCAATGCATGCAATCTATCAATGCTGCCTATCATGCCTGGAAAACCACGCAGTTCATTTTGATGCAGTATTCAGGCCAAATCATCAGTTGTAGGGTTTTGCAGGTACTCGGTTCCGAACTGATCAATGACCCCGGCACAAAAACGTTGAAGGGCAACTCGAACGGTTGATTGACTGATTCGAACGTATTCATCCACGGTGTCTGCAGCCAAGCCGTAGGCTAACATTCTTATCGCGGCTGTGCATTTTTGCAGAGGTGATAAGCCTAACCTTCCAGCTGCATCCCTACGCTGCTGGAAGTAAACATCACCTTCAACGACCTTGTTCATTATACGTAAAAACAAAGGTCGTTGCATTCGAAATCTTCTTCTAAATTGGTTGGTGTTGTACACAGGATTATCAAAAAAATAATCATTAAACAGCCTGGCATGTCCCATTTCCTATCTCTTCTATTCGTACCCCCTCTGGGTGTTTCTGTAGTGGGTTGGGATTGTTTTTGGGGCATGAGGAAAGTTGGGGGTTGGAATGTGAAGAGTTCATCAACGAGTTGATCATATTCTTCAGTATTTGAAGAAGATGAACTCGAACTTGAACTTGATGATGCTCTGGAATACATCTTGTATTAATAATGTAAGTTTCTGAATTTGTGTGGTTGTGGATATGTGCCATGCTTACTATATATAGCAAATATATCAAATGAATATGTGGTTACAAATCTGAATGACCACACCAATTGAAGGAATCAAATTTTCAGCCACGGAATAGGTATACTATGCTAGTTGACAATGACAAATCTTGAGTGCAATTATGTCGGTAACAATGACAAAAAGTTAAAGAATTCTGACAAAGTGAATTCAGAAAAAAGTACTACACAATGAAAAAAGTGAATGCAATTATGTCGGTAACAATGGCAATTGAAATCAACTTGTTAAACAACTTGTCATTCAATATTGGAAAATCAGAATACAAGTTTACATCTGACATTGAAATTAAACACACCACTAGTACAAGTTAAAAATAAAAGACTACATTGCGCATAATTAAAAACTTAATTAATACAAACATAGACCAACTACAATAGCATAATTAAAAACTTGAGTAATACAAACGTAGACCAACTACAATAACATGCTTAAAAGCCTTGTAATTTACCAAGTAAAAAATTCTTGTACGCCTCTTCTTGAGGAGTGAGTGGCGTAGGCGAATTCTTCAGAGTTTGCAGCATATCAAACATGGTTCTCATCTTATGAATGTCAAGTTCCTCTCGTTTCCTCTGTTCCTTATCCTTTTCAATTTTTATCCTCTTTTCCTTCATAATGGCCTCCCTTTCGCGAATTGTAGCGAATTCCTTCATTTGTTCGCCTAGGTCAGACGAACCACTTTCTGTTGCCACTGCTTTCCCTTTACGTTTGGCCTTTGCTTTCTTCACACCATCGAGTTGTCGTATTCCTCCAGATGAAAAACCATTTGTAGGGGTTTTATCCCCTACATCATCTCTCAACCTCTTCCCACTTCCAGCACTACCTTGCTCCTCAACATCACAAACAACTTTTCTTTCCTCCTTTGACAAGGACCATCTCAGCTTTGGCCTCCACTTTGGATCTTTATTAAGCATTTCAACTGCGTGAGGAAAACTGAAATTGTGATCGGTGGCCAGATGAAAAAGCTTTGATGCACTTTTTACACGGTCAGCTTCGTTGTAACCACTCCCTCCCTCCGGAAGTTTACCCGCTTCATCATAGCAAGATATCCACTGTAGTGTGTCTGCTGCCAACCTTCTCCAGTGCGACGACAGACTCTTCATAGGTCTTGGCAGAAGTATATTTGGCTTCTCCGCCTGAGCCATTTGATATGCTGCGTGTACATTGCGCCATTGGTCAGTTGCTTTCTGGTTCGTACCTTTAATAGCATCTTCGCTAATCTGCAAGTACAACCCAATTAGAGCTTCATCTTCCGCAATAGACCAAACACGAGTCGCTCGTGCAGCAACCTGGTTGGATTGCACTTTGGGAACTTGTGGAGGATACTGCGGCGTCTCTGGTACGTTTTCTTCTTGACTGTCATCGAATTGGGTGTTGCTACCATGATCAGTTACAGGTGTACGTTCTTCATTATCATAGTTTTCTAGGGAAAATTCAGTGGGTGTCTGATGCTGTGGAGGTGGTTGCAAAGACGTATTTCCCATTCTTTGCAAGAACAATCAAAACTCAATTTGTTAGGAAATCATCACTAAAACCAGAAAATTGTTGACGGAAATTTGGGTTGTTCGGATCCATTAAAAGATTCTGCATCACAAAACAAAAAATAAATATGTTTAAAAAGATTGTAATAAGACATGACATTCACAACATTATTTTAACCATTTCTTTTAACATCTGTACATAACCTAACTTTCACAACACTTAATTTACTAATATACAACTTGCAACAATTTTAACTACATTTAAATAATAAATTAAAATGACAACAAATCAAAAAAATATAATCTAATACCACTTAATTTATTAAATATACAACATTCACGTTCAACAATATATAAACAAAACATATAATACATAATATAATGTAACGAAATTAACTACCTATACAAAAATAACATATAAATATAAATAAGCATAAAAAATTACTTCACATATACAAAACAACAACCCAATTTCCAAAAAATCAGCAAATAAATTCAGATTAAATTAACTTCAAATTTATTAATGTATGAACAAATAGCAACAACTTTCTAAATACAATTATATATATAATTGCAATTACATTACATGAACTACATTTATTAATTTGCAAAAAAATCACATAATATTAATAAATAACTGAATTTTGCAAAAAAAAAAAAATATTAATATTTACCTGAAAATCGGTGAAATACAACAAAAATCTTCTTCTAATTTCGGATTATTTAGAAAAATAAAGAATATGGAGGATTTTTGTTATTTATGAAATTATGCAAAAATATATCAAAAATGCATGTCTATTACAGAATTAAATTTTATGGCCGTTGGTATTATTATTTTTTTAAAATAAATAGAATTTTCAGAAAATTAGATTTAATATATATAACCGTTGTGTAACGAGGCTATTTTCCAATTGGTTAATTCGCTGTAGCCTGCCACGTGTCGCTTTCCCATTCGCTGAAGCTCTGCACGCGTCAGTCCAGAAATTCCTTTTTTTTTTATTTTTATTTTTTATTCTGATTTAAGTGGGGCCCACGCTTGCACTGTTCATCATAAATTATGCCCAAGACTTGGGCATTTTAACACTTGCCCACGGGCTTTGTCATTTCACCCACCATTGTAACCCCTTATTTCTTCCTTCTTGCTCACAAATATGCTCATGAGCATATTTTTAGCCCACCATTGGTAGAGCTCTTAGGATAAGATTATTTATATAAGGGTAATTAGAAGGGTGTATATGAGGTAAAATCATATTAATTCGGTTGCCCTTAATTCGAGTTATTAAATTTGGGTTTGGTTTAACTCGACCTTATTTAATATTTTAAGTTACATAGGTCATTTCCGAGTTGAAATTTTAAACCTTAACTTAACCCATTTAATTTTTTCAGGCCGAGTTCATGTCAACCCATGTCGAGTTGGAAAACTCAATCCAAATCCATTTAGGTTGTGTCATTTTTTGTTAGGTATAGGTATATGAAAACGGTATTTAAAAAAAATGAAAGGGTAAAAGGAAAATTGATACTCTTTCTTTGTAATAGAGATTTATTTCTAATTCAATCTCTTGTAGGGTTCGTCACGAGGTCACACACTCACACCCCATCAAAAATCTATAATTGGATGACTCTATTGACCTGCCCTGCCCTATTTATTAATTAGCGGATCTAACCCATTTATAACTAGGGCGGGTCGGGGCTTGTAATGGGGCTCCAAGGCCTCCAAGTCTCCAACCCATTGAATTGCTGTATCCCCCATTCCAAAAAAAAAAAAAAAAAAAAAAAAAAAAAAAACTCCTATCTCTCTGTTCGTTCTCCATTGAAGCGCACTTGACGTTCTCCATTGAAATAGCTGTATCCCCCCATTGAAGCAGCTTCTGAGGTAAATTTTTGTTTCATTTTGTAATCATCATATCAATTTCTCAATCTAGGGTTTAATTTAATTTAATTGTCAGTTTACTAAGTTTAGTGTTCGAAAATCTGAACTATTTTGGTTGTAAATTTGTAAAAACTAAGATTATGAAAGATCATAACCAGCGATTATGTTGTTAGAAATAAAATTTATGAGCCTAATTGATAATTGAATCAAATATCCCTATTTATTTGATAACTGAATCAAATTTGGTTGCTAAAAGTATTGCAGAACTCTTTAATGTTAGAATTGAACTATGAAATTAGACCTCACTGCTCTATATTTCTGTCCATTCTTTATTTTTTGAAATTTAAATTTGGCAAATTCAATCTTTATTATTAATTTTTTTAATCTGATTTTAGGAATTAGTTGGCACCTCTGAACTCCTTTTGGAATTTGCCATGGCTAAACTTGCAAATGATGAAATTGCTTGCTTGGGTTATTAAATTATTAGATGTTGAATTAGATTTCCAAATGTAGGTTTCATGGTTGAATTTGTTTATAATATTTTTGAACTTTAGCTTGTTATTTACTCTTCTTAACTGTTATTTAGGTATGTATTATAAAGTGGGTTAGCCAGTAGCTTGTTATTATAGTGTCGATTAAAAAGGTCAATTAGATGATTGTGCACAAATTAATATGAAAAGATGATAGCATGATAAATCCAAAGTGGAAAAGGTTTGAAAACAATTAAGAGAAAACATGATTTTCTCATAAAGTTGGAGGAAATTTAGTGAACGGAATATGATAAACTACAACAGACCACCTGTGACCCTCCTTACACGAGGTTGCGATGCTAGCACTAGCCGCAACCAGGGTACCAGGCAAACCAGGACATAGGAGGCTAAGCAAGCACTTGGTAGTTGGTTGAGCTTGAGCAGCTCTTTCGTCATATTTGGAAGAAGACAAGTAATAGTAATTAATTCCTTTTACTAGGTCGCATTTTAGGGGTTGGTGAACTTGATCAATTGAGGAAAAAAGAGTAGAGACTAGAGAGGGGGTATCCAGAAATTTGTAAGCTTGGGCAGTTGAAGAGTGGTGGCCTAAAGTCATGTTTCAGACCCTTTATGTATTTCCATTGATTAAAGATCCAATCTTTCCCTCTAATTTTGCAATTTATCACTTTCCATTACAAGGAACTCAAATACACTGCAGAATAATGTTTACCTGATTGAGAGGTATATGATTTATAAATAGCAAGTTCTAGCTTAGCTGATGTTAAATCTATACTAGTTAAAGAAGAGATAGCAGTTGAATCAATTGGTCGTGTAATGTTGATATATTAGCAATGCATTGTTTCTTATATATATATATATATAGATAGAATCTACCCTCAGATATTTAGCTTGTTCTTATGTAAATTTTTTAATGCTTAAGGTGATCGAGTTTGAAGTGATAAAAGGAGATGGTTAGGGCTCACTATCATTACAAGAATTTGTCTTCAGTCTAGGGTGTTGTTACTAGAATGTACACATCTGATGCAGCCGTCAAAGATTTATCCGATGCCCCATTTAAAAAAATATGTAGAATCATGATGTCATCTCCTAAAGTAGGACTGGATGTCAGGCTTGATCATAGCGGAGTTGAGGCTTCACCAGAGATGGTTGAGGATGTTCTGAAGAGATTTGGAAATGCAGGTATGATATCATATTGTTTTTTTGAATGGGAAGGAAAGCAACATTATTACACACATACTGTTGAAGCTTATCACATTATGATTGGGTCTTTGGCTAAAATAAGGCAGTTTGAGATTATGTGGGATCTTGTGAACACTATGAGGAACAAGGGGATGCTAAGTGTTGAGACGTTTTGCATTATCATGAGAAAGTATGCTAGGATGCAGAAGGTGGATGAGGCACTCTATACATTCAATGTTATGGAAAAATATGGTATTACTCCAAACTTAGCTGCATTTAATGGGCTTCTAAGTGCTTTATGCAAGTCTAAGAATGTAAGGAAGGCCCAAGAGATCTTTGATAAAATGCATGAACAATTTGTTCCTGACTCGAAAACTTATAGCATACTGCTTTCTGGTTGGGGAAGAGAACCAAATCTCCCCAGGGCAAGGGAGACTTTCAGACAAATGAATAATGTAGGTTGCAATCCTGATATTGTGACATATGGTATAATGGTTGACGTCCTTTGTAAATCAGGGAGAACTGATGAAGCTGTAGAAACTCTTAGGAGCATGGATGCTAATGGTTGTAAGCCAACATCTTTTCATTATAGTATTTTAATTTATACTTATGGTATAGAGAATCGAATGGAAGACGCCATAGATACATTTATGGATATGGTCGAAAATGGTGTGGAGGCTGATGTGGGAGTGTAGAATGCCCTAATTAGTGCATTTTGTAAAGTAAATAAATTGAAAAATGTATTTCGGGTCTTAATAGAGATGAATGGTAAAGGGGTTGTACCTAATGCTAGGACTTGCAATATAATATTAAACAGTTTGATTGGACAGGGGAAGACTAATGAGGCTTTCAAGGTGTTTAGAAAGATGATTAAGATGTGTGAGCCTGACACAGACACATATACAGTGATGATAAAGATGTTTTTTGAGAGAGATCAGTTGGAGCAGGCTCTGAAGGTATGGAAGTACATGATGTCAAAAAGGTTTGTTCCAAGCATGCATACCTATTCAGTTCTTATTAATGTGTTGTGTGAAAAGGGCCAGGTCAGTGATGCATGTGTATATATGGAAGAGATGATTGAAAAGGGAATTCAACCTCCAGTTTTGACCTTTCGCAAGCTGAGGCTGTTGCTTATAAAAGAAAGGAGGCAAGATGTCCTGAAGTTTCTTCAGGAGAAGATGAATCTTTTGATCAAGGAACCTTTGTGTGATTGAAAGGCTATGAAGACCATGTTCATAAAGTAATATATAGACTGAGTCAGAAGCAATGAATCACCCTTTCTCTATTGCCCTTTGGAATTTCAGGTTAGTTGATTACAAGTCCCGGTCATTGCTTTCTTTCCTATGGTTGCAACAATTTAAGAAAGTACAACATGTGTTATATTGAAGTCACTAGGTAAAGTAATAGTTTTGAAATTTTGATGTTCGGAATTTACTGCATATAAATCGTATTGCACATTGCTG